CTCTCTCTCTCTCTCTCGCTCTCTCTCTCTCTCTCTCTCTCTCTCTCATTTCTTCTTCTTTATGCTAAGAGGATTGTGCTGGTAAGTTGCCTAATTTCTTTATGACTTCATAAAAATGGTGACACTAACATACTTTTTTCTTTGTATCACAGGCACAGACTGAGTGTAGGGGTATTATAGCTTTAGGCAGAGATTAGTTTTTAAAATAAAATCAAGGGATCTTGATTTGGGTTTTTGGAAACTAGTAATAGATATGTTTTCAATCTAGCAAACTACATAAGCAAATGCCTTGTGCGTATGATCATCTGGACAGAATTCAGAGGAACTCCTCATCTGTGTGAAGTTTTGCGTGTCTGCTTTAATCCCTTGCTTGACTGGGATTTTAGTTTCTTCTTCTCTGAACTCACCCAGTGCCTGAGCAAAATTTCATAACATTTGCAGTCCGTTCAGGTACCATGCATATACAGTGAGTTTCTTGGTGCCATTCCTTACAGGAAAAAATCAGTTTGTGAAGACCACCATACACGCCGGCACTGCTTGCAATCTTGTGTTAGTCTTGGAAGAGAGACTGGAGCCTGAATTGTCAGGGTGACTGAAGGATTTCTCTCCTTGCAGATGTACCTCTCACATTAGTTTTTTTGTGGAAATTGCTCTCCAGAATTACTGGGCATCTTCTCACACTAGCTATAGTCCAAATGCAGAAGAACAGCAGCATTCTTAGCAAACCACTTTGAAAATGCTGACCATTGAAAGAGCTCTCCAGAAAAGCCATATAAGTAGATACTTCAGTTTAAAAAAAAAAAAAAAAAAAGTCACTTCAGGCAGTGAATTGTTGTCTGATGGTTAATGCTTTGTTACTGGTTTTTTTCCCCTCCCAGTGGCTTAGTGTCAACCACAAAAGACAGGAACAAAGGTACAACAGCCATTTTTTGCAAAGAAAATACATTTGCTGATGGAAACAGATACAGATGTACTCTGTTGTTGAAGCGCTGGGCTAAAACACAACACAGAAATACTAATTCATTCAGTGAGTTTAGCAGTTTTTTTTTTACTCTGTTGTCTTTTAAATGTATGATGTTGTCTTTTAAACTCATGAAGCACAATACGCTGTTCCCAATTCTTGTTCCCAGAGCTCTGGATGACTTTGGTCCACAGCAGGTCTCCAGGGGCAGGAGAGCAGAGCAGGCAGGAGCGGGTATGGAGCAAGCAGCCCTAGCTCAGGGCGGGATGCTGCTCATGAAACTGCCCCGGAAGGGGAAAACAGGCCCTTCTCCATGCCAGCTCTGCTAAGCATTTGTCCGCCTGAAACTACACTGAGATCACTTACCATTGATTACACAGGAGTCCTGGAAGAGCCGCAAGATGGGAATTGCCAATTAGCCAGATTGCAGCTAGTGAGTCAGTACTAGAAAGCTCCGTATTTAGAGTGTCCTGGGGCGCTTCTCCAGAAATCAGTGTTCTTTGAAGTAAAACATTTCTCTCACGAAGGTCTAAGAAGCACTATGTAAGTTTTCACCCCTCTCCCCCCAAAAAAAGAAGCCAATTGGAAATTGCTTGGGAGGTGTGAGCGTGTTTAATACAATATTTTTCCCCTGCGTGCCTCAGTGCTTCTGCTTTTTTCTTTTGAAACAGGAAGCCACAGCCTGTTGCCAGCGAAGCGTCGCAGTGTCCTGGCTCAGTGACCCCCCAGCACCGCCGTCCCTGCCGTGGCAGGGGCTCGCTGGGTCGGGTTTTTGTGTGGGTTTCAAGGCTATAGAGATAAACCTGAAATAAATGTTTACTGGTTTTGGGCTCTTGTCTGCAATGAGCCTTTTAAACTCCACCTACTCGCATAGTGAAATCAGGTCAGTGGAAACTATTTCTAGCTCGTGTGTGCCAGACTCCTCCACGGGATTACCTCAGGTCAGTTAGACTGTGCTTGGGAAATGTCTTTTCTCTCAGAAGTATTAGTTAGGCTTACCACAGGATCCCGCCCGAGATGTGGGGAGGATCCCCATGGTAGGCTATGAAATGATGCTGACATGATTAATTCCCCAGACCCAGGCCTCTGGGCAAATTTATTTCCTTGGGAAAAGCCATATTTAAAATTATTCTAACTGATATATTTTCCTTTGGAAGGTTTAATTAGGGGGGCAAAAACCTTTGCCCATATTCAACATCCTCTGTAAACTGTCCCGTCTTTATCTTGTCCTGTTGTTTTTCAAGGCATCAACCTTTAGCTAAAGACACTATTTTTTTATTTGCTGAAATTTATTATTTCATTATTGCCTCCCTGGGACAATTTATTGATTCTTAATTAAAACTTGACCCCTACGTGCTGTGTGTAGGAGGTACAATGCAGCAACAACCTGAGATTAAACTCTTATCTAATATATAAAACAGAGAAAGAGGCAAGGTCACAGCACAGGTCAGTCTAATTCCGTGTTTCTGTCCCGGGTCATAGCTGTGGTGTTTAGTGTGACAGACCAAGAGGGGAGGCTGTGGACTTAGACAACATAACATGCCGCTGCAAAGCATTTGCAAGGTGTTTGGATGTGACTGGAATTCACCTGGTCTAGGCTTCTGAAAAAAATATATTCCAAATGCCCTGTTCCCAGGAGTAGATCTTTGTACTTCATCTCTAAATGCAAATGTAATAGTTAGAACGTCCTTATTCTTTTTTTTTTTTTTTTTAGTTTCAACCTTATACTTCATCCCACCCCAAGAACGTGTGCATCTCTTTTAAAATGCTGGGGGAACAAAGAAGATTTTGGGGAGACATACAAAGTTTTGACTCTCCTTCTTGTTTGTAGCTCTTACAACTTTTCCAGTAGAGTCAAAGGTTTAAAGTGTTAGTATAAGTCAGAGAGAAACACTTGACTGTGTGTAATAAGACACTACATTTTATGCGTTAACTTAATGTTTTATTGCTATTTAAATTAGAGGTTACCTGAAAGGCTGAACAGAAACGTGAGTTCAGTATTTCGGTGTCACCAAGCTTTAATCACATTTTGCATGCATATTTAGGAAATGATGAAATTTCTTTTTTTCTTTCCCCAAATTAAACTAGTTTTGTTTATCTCATTTTTAATATTGATTCCAGACTTTGTTTCTCATGCACTGCTCTACAAATATGGGGGAAGAGACCTTTTTTATTTGAAAAGAATGAAAAATGTATTTGCCTTGCTCTGTGTGTGCACACTGTGTGTGTGGTGGGGGGGGAGGAGGGTCAGCAGAGACCTATGGGTCCGGAGGGAGGCGTGGGAGGGGACGCTGGTGTGCAGGAGATGGGGGTCCCGTGCGCCAGGGGCACACAGGGAGGAGAGGGAGCCCTGGCGTGGCTCCTGCCATGCTGTGCGGTGTCCTTTGCCACCAAGCAAGCCCCCATCCGCCAGGGAGGTACCAGCTGGGGAATGGCTTACGGGCGAGTGAGGAGGAGGATGCTCCTTGTTCACCTGAAACCTTGCTTACCATTTTCCAAAAGGTTTAATGATGTCTAATCTCAATGATGTGAAAGGTCTGGGTGGTGTCATCACTTGCAGGTTTTCCACCTTCCTGAGTAGGCTATACAGACTCCGAGTCTTGAAGACTTGGCCTTTCCTCTTTTTTCTCTACAATGACGCAGGGGAGGGAACTGGAGGTATTTCAGATAGGTTGTGGGTCACCTTCTCACCCACAGCATCAGCAGTGTCATTTCTGGGACTGCTTGTCTGCTTTGGCAGTTGGGTTGGAGGGAGACAGACTGAACCTCTTTTCTGAGTAAACTTACTTGTTCTGCTGGGTTACAGTGTACCGTGAATGACTCTCTGAATTCCTAATATAGCTAAAGAGAACCTCTCCCTCCTCTGTGTTTATATGTTTTAGGGCTTTAACGCAGGCAGTACTTGTGCTTCCCTTGGTTAATCAGCACATCAGAATTGTTTGCATTTTGGTTCTCTCTGGCTTACGGTGGGGGGACTGATTTTCTAAGACGAGTGTCTAAATTTAGGCACTTAAAGGCATACAGTTTTGGCTTGGAGCCTGAGGTTTAAAGTTGCTGACTTCAGTATTAACATGAAGCACTTGCCATTAGAAAGAAACATATGTGACAAATTGAACCAGTTTTAAACAAGTGTTAGTGTTCACCCATAAAGCTAAAGGGTCAAAGCGCTGACAAAATAAAAAAATCTGTGTTTGTTGCAATAGAACTGCTCTTTCATTGACAGCCTCTGTTTCTCTAAAGGATTTTAAAAAATCTACTTTTTTGCATGCTTAAAGCTTTAAGATTTATATTTTTTTGAAAGGAAAGCTAAATTTTATCTGAATGGGAAAACCCACTTGAATGTTGACAATAATGGGGAAAGTAATTTATAAAGAACTTTTCATTGGAAAAAAAAAAAAAAAAAAAGAAAGATGAGTTGGGAAAAATATAGCATGACTGGTTCACAGTCCTAGAACTCCCTGGACAATGGAAAATCATTATGGGATTTACCTGTTCTTTAGCTGGCATCAGTGCTCTAGATGCCACAATGAGAGCTGCAACACAAAGCCTTGGTGGCACAGGTGTGTTCCAGATCTATGTATATCTAAGCCTGTTCTGGATTTTAGGGGCAGGAGTTTGTACTGACATTTCAAGAGAAATTTGCTGAAACCATACGAATGGCTTCTTATTAAGAAACTGGTTGTTACTGCACATTCTCTGTTTTTGGGTAGAAAACGCGAATCTATCCACACAGAGTTACATGTGCACTCCTGAAACGCGTCAGCCACGTTTAATACAAAAAATAGAGGTTACTTTCAGTGAAGGAACGCCTTTATCTAGTACTCTTGTGTTCGCTGTGCTCAGCATATTAATTATCTTTAAAGTCAGTTTGACTTTTCACAGTGGGTTAATCGAAATGCAAAGTTAATCTTAGCCATTGGGTTTACATTTGATTATAGCCAGTAGATCAGTTTGAGGAATGATGATTCAGAATGTCTTGAAAATCCCTCCAGAACAGTAATATTTAACTGTTCTTTTAGACAGAGATATCACTGAATATACCTTTCTTTGTTCTTGGTCGTATCAAAGGGTGATACGACCCTTTGTTCTTTCTTTGTACCTTGGAAAACTGATGGGAAGATGTAGTGCTCAAACTGAAAAAAAAATCAGCATCTTTTCTCTTTCTTTGGATCCTAGAAAATACATTGCAACTTGTTAATTAAAGAGGCATAGATGATTACTCCAAACAGTATGGCTGTTTATTTTAAGTTCCCTGTACCAGTCAAACTCCAGAAATAGCATATACACAAACCCTGGTTTTAATTTCAGTGTTGAAAACATCATTTATGTTCATGCTGAAAACTCTATACTGCTCATGTCGATCCTTTGTAACCAAATTGAAAAACGTTCCATTGTATCAATCCCCAGTGAAGACAAAATCTTTTCTGTGGAACTGATTTTATATATAGTCACCATAAATAATGCTATGTGAATAATTAATTGTCCTCATCACCCTTTACAACCTCCCAGCCATTACAGTTATGAAGATCTTAATCACTAGATGGAGATCTGGGCGCCACGTGCTGGTATCTGCAGTGGGACAGAGATGGGGAAAGGCAGCATTATTAGCAGGAGCTCTTCACTCACGTTTCCTGGCATGGATCCTTCCAGATGAGGGGTGCCCGTTGCTGGGTTTTGCATTTAGGGCTGCACAACCCTGAGAAGTTGTACGTGGACAGCAGTTAGCGCTAGAGCCTCTGCCTACGAGGAACTAGCCAGTCTTCCCTGCCATTTCTCCCCCTCGTTTCTACTTGTACACCTCTGACTGTCCCCAGCTGCCTCCTGCACCCTCCTGGGCGGCAGCTGCTGTTGCCACACAGCTGAGTTTTGCCTCTTTTTGTGCTCTGGCACGGCAGTTCAGGTTTGCTTGTAGCATTAAGAAGTGCCGAAAAGCCAGATACAGCAAATAGGAGTAGTGCTATTGTGTGTAATGGCTGTCGCTGTGCTGCTTGTTCAGTTGGCCCCGAGCCTGCTGCAGCCTGGGAGCCAGCTCATGTTTTCAGGAGCCTGCAGATCCCAGTTGGGGATCCCAAGTACACCAGGTCAGATGATATGTCACGGACGGGCTGCCCACAAGGCAATCATGTGGCCAGGAGGCAGGTGGGAGACTGCGTGCTGCGCCGACAACTATTCTGATATTTGTGCTTTATCAGGAGGACTGTCCATGTATGGAAGTAAGGAGGTGTATGTGCAGAGCTGACACTGGTTTAGGACAGTGAGGAGATGGACAGTAAGGGAGTAACCATAAGGGAAGCCAGATACAGCAGCCTTCCAGCCTTGCATCGTATGAGGCTTCAATTTGATCTTTGCATAAAAGGGAGCCCAATGGACTGCAGAAGCTGGGATTTCTTCGAGTGGTGTGATTTCTTCTGGATTGTAATTTGTACTGCTGCAGGATGGGGAGATGTAAAATAGGGCCTTGTGGGCACTTGCTAATTCAAAGTTGCGGTGCAAGTTACTGTGGGGTTGTTCTGAACCCAGGCAATTGTGTTCTGCCTGAGTTCCTCCTTCAGTTTTAATTGAGTATTTTCCACTGGGTGCTAACACTGTTAGGCTTTTTAAAGGGATTAAAGACATTCAGTAAGAAAATTAGGTTAGAGTTTGTATTAAAAGACGTGTAATTGTTGTTTCTGTCTTTGTTATAGTCCACTGATGATAATTACACAGAAGATCACAACACTTGCATGCCAACTCCATGATGGTAAGAAAAGAAATCTCTTCCCATGTCCTGAAGACAGCGTTTTTATTCCAATGCATTCTTTGATTGCATTATGGAGTGGATGAATGTAGTTCAGTGAGTTGCTCCACGTGAGGAAGAAAAACACTGAACTGAGGAGGAAAACAAGATATTTCAGGTTTTGATCAGTTCTCTAGAATCAGCTGTCTTTACAATAATGAAGACACCTGTTTCCCCACTGGGAGCTCTGTTTCCTTTCCTTCTGTTTCTCTTTTCTGATTTTAGCTAGTATCTGTATTAGCTATTTAGACATAACTGTGCATCTCCATTGAGCTCTCTGAAGCTGTTCTGGATTCTTAGATTAAAATCAAGCTTCTTATTTGATACATAGGTCCATGAATTAGTGTCAGTGTAACCAGACTATACTATCACTGGAATATTCCAGTGATACGACCCTTTGTGAATTGTGAGAGATGGAATTTAATAGCTTTCTCCCCATGCAGGGAAGACCTCAGTTACAGGAAAAATAACGTTATCTTCAGCCTCGTGCTGTGCTGTGGCAAGGAGCATTATTATTTTCCAGTAAAATGCCAGTCTCTAATACAATGTGAAGGCTAGAAGTGTCAGTTGTGATCAGTACCGTTACTGCTCATGTCTATTGCTGTTGCAGTGTGGACTTCCAATGACCTGAGGCCTGTAACATTAAGCTCTGCATGGCTAAATGCATAGTCTGCCCTAGAACTGTTATCATCTAGGATTTAGGTGGTGGCTACACTACAGATTGCCAGGGCTGGAGTTTTTCATGGGCCAGGTCTACACAAGTAGACCTGTGTAGCAGGCGATAGCAGGTGCAGCTTGAAGCTCTGTAAGGGCTCACTGATCTTCTCACTGACCTGCGTGTTGCTGGGGTTTCTCTGCTTCTGTTATTTAAGCTAACCGGCTCAGGTGTCGCTGCATGCCCTCGTGGTGTGCAGCCTAGATGTACGCGTAGGTTATTGGAGCTAAACGAACAGGCAGAGAAGAAGAGATAACAGCAGTGGCAGAAGCATTTCAAACAAAATGGAAATCCTACAGATTATTGATGGTGGAAAAGGCTCATTACGTTTTGAACATCCGGATACAGAACAGCTGATCAAATGGAGGCAGCTTGCAGTTCAGGCACTAGTGGGAAATCTCGATTTGTAAAAATTTAATGTTTGCCTGTTTCCATTTATAGACGGCTACAAAATACCCAGCCCTTTAAGTAACTAAATGCTTAATTGTTTCCCTGGAATTTGCAGCCTTCCAGTATTTGCATACAGAAATAGTGGAGAGAGAATGGAAATGAGCAGCTTATTAGCAGTCTTTTTAGGAAATGGGACTTATATGTATGTGCGCATGCATGTGTAGCAGTAATTATGGCCAGTACATTGAGAACAACAGTGTTAATTGATGCCAAGGCCCTGATCTTGTGTGCATGTTCAGCATCATGTTGTGCCTCATCCAGCAGTGAGCTGTTCTGCTGAAGTCAGTGGGATTCCTCACAATGCACCCAGCTAAAGCTTTAAAGAGAAGGCTTTAAGGTACTTGGTGTTTGCACACTTGTCTTCTGACAAGATTTTTCTATAGATTTCTTGAGGCGGTGAGTCTGTGCTCTACCTCTGGCCCCAAAGGTCTTGTGAGCTCGACGGGAGGCTGCCCTTCCAGTCAGGACCTTGTACAATTTCCAGTTATTACTGATGTGTGTGTTTAGGCTTGCTCCAGAAACAGACAGCTAGGCTGCTAGTTCACACTAGTGGAGCTTCTGTTTCTTGAGAGCCCGTTTCTCTTCCCCTGCCTGGTCATCCTGCTGTGAAATGCTCCATTTCTCAGCAAGGAGTCAGCAGGAGGCTTATGCTTAAATGAGCCAGCAGCTTCTGGGAGCAGAGATTTTTCCAGCACAAGCTTGTTAGTAGAGGTTGCTGGGGGGTTGCTGCCAGTTGGTGGCATTGCGAGGCGCGTTATGTGTGCGGGAATGCTATGACTACTCCTGAAAGCACAGCAAGGGTGAGAAAGGGGGAATGAGGTAGAGGATGGGGTAAAGAAGTAGGATAGAATATGAATAGACTTGACCTGAACGTTAGAAAGTTAGAACTGTATTATCACTGCCTTTGACAAAGAAACTCTGAAGTCTATGGTCTTAGGAACTTTATTTATTATCTTTGGGATAGAAACATAAGGCTTGGGGATGGCTTTCAGTGTTTGGCTTTCAGAAAGGTCTAATGTGGCTTTTATTTCTTTCTAGGAATAGGGCGACGAGCTGAGGAACTCACTGCTGAGCAAAATCGGCTTGCTATAAAGTAAGAATTTAATTCCGCACTTGATTTATGTTTAGTCTCATCTAAAGAAGATTAGGGTTTTCTTTTTTTTTCCCATGTCAATACCAACTTAGTAGCACAGCCATGAAAGTGTTCCCTCCTTTTTTCCAGTCTGTGATGGGGAAAAAAGAGCTACCTATTTTTTCTGTTTTTGTTGAGCAATTGTAATTGTTTTTGTAGTGGGGCTGTCAGTGCCCACCTTACATGAACATAGCTTCTCTGCTACGTTCCTTCACCCTGCCTTCCAAGGCAGGGCTTGTGCCTTTATCAGCCTGACCTGGTCAATAAAGCACTGAAGCACTTGGCCGCATCTCATTAACTTAAATGATTACTCCACCTGCAGCAAAAGTGATCTTTGCTGAATCAGCTCCTTAATGCTCATGTTAGGGCTGTACTATATGGACTTTTCAGCTATCTTCATTCTATCCACGTTAATCCTATTTTTCCATAGTAGAACATCCCTCCTCTGTCACTGCTGCATAGTACGAAGCCATTCTGGTTGGACTCTGACACTTCAAATGCTGTTCTTCTCTAATTCGTGGACACTGAAATTTTATTTTTCCTATTTCTCTCCATAAGGTTGATACTTCTAGTCTTTCAAGTTATGTGACTAGTCTTCTGATTTTTCAGAAGGAGATAGCACGTTGGTTATGTATTCAGGCTTTTTTTTTTTTTTTTTTTTTTTTTTTTTTTTTTTTTTTTTTTTTTTTGCCTCTTCCTATTTTAATGAAAGTACAAGATGCAGGTGAATTCTTTTTTTGGGGAAGAATTAGTGCTACAGCTGTAACTAATTTTCACCATGAAGTATTTCTGTAGGCCCAGGGAATTTGTTTCCTTAGTGTACAAGGCAGAAGACTGAACCGTCAGAAAATCAGCCTATGAGATTATAAAAGTAAGAAGGGAGTTGTTTCTTGAAAAGTGAAAATCCTGTAGGAGGACTTATATAACTTCTGCTGTGACCCATAGCTGTGTATCTATTTTTAAGGCTCACAGCATAATGTTGAACTGCACTGGGCCCATGTGACCACATGATTAGTTCTGGTCAAATTCTCACTAAACAGACTGTTTTTCTTGTACAGTAGATGAGCTCATAATATAAAAGTATGTGCCAACAGCTCAAGTGTCAGTGGCAGACAAATCATAACTAAAGAGTTTTAAATCCCCTTTGGTAATACAGCCTTTTGTCTTTCCTCCTGTTCTTGGTCTGTTTTTGTTTCTCACTCATCCTCTGTGCATTCTTTCGTGCGTTGCTCATATCTCCCCACCCACCAACGTGCAGAATCTAAGTTGAAACTAATGACTTTATTTTTAATCATACTGTAGAGCTCAGAAGCCCAAATCATGGACCTGACTTTGAAGAACAAAAAGATGATCCTTACCCTAAATTGTCTGCCACCTACTGCAGCTTTCTATCAAATGGTTTCACCAGAGAACATGTCAGTCAGAAACTAACATCTACAATAACCAGCAGAGTGAATGCACAAAATCCCTAGCTAAGCCAACTGTTTATTCAAACTAATTCCACTTCAGAATAAAAGTAGGCAACAGCAAATGTTTAACTGTTGCTTAGATTTTCTGCTAAAAGTCTGTGATCTAGTCTGGATGAGTTTTAAGTGGGTTTCAGTTTATGTGTGTCGACCTGTATCTTGGGCAGGAGGATCTTTAAACACAGTACCCTAGTTTCTGCTCCCGACTGGAGAGTCCTCATTGACTTTGACTGGTGACTATCGGCAAGGTCATGGAAAGCATTGTGCATCTGAATGCAGATTTCAAATGGTGGCATCTCCTGTCACATAAATATAGCAAGCCCAATGCGTTATAAACTATACTAGTGATGAGAAACCTGTGTGTCTTTCTTTTTAGTCCTACTAATCTGTAGTATTCACAGTGGATCTTCTTCATTTAACATCTAACAGTAAAACCCCCAAAGGAACCTGTGGGATATGCACTAGCAAAATGGAAATAATGAACGAGATTACTTTCTTTGACTTTCATCTTCAGCTGTCTTTTGATTTATGTATTTCTTTTCCCCATACTTCCTTTTCCCGTTCATGATGCAATACAGGCAATTACTTCCTTTATTTGCACAGTTGGACAGGGTGACTTTTCATTCTGTTCCCATACTTCTAATATCAACAGTCCCCATTTTTCAAAAGGCTGAACTGTACAGGCTTTGAGAAGAGGTGGGTGAGAGCTTCTCTTCGGCTTGAGAGTCATTGTCTGAAACACTTCCTGCCTTATATAGCTTTGCATAAAAATGCAAAATATCGCATTGCACAGCTTTGTCAGATTAGCGTTACTCAGCTTGTGGTCTGCCAGCCGTTACTGGTCCATGATATGTTGAACAAATGTCCAAAACAGTTACCAGCTCCTGACGGCTGTTTCTGCTGGCCTGTTTGAAAGGTGCAAATCAGTTTGGTTGAGAGTACATACTTAAATATAGGAGTATTTTTAACTAAAATGTTTCTAATAATAAGTTTGCAACTTTTCAAATCAGTAGCATTTTGTTTACCTGTCGTTTAAGTACTTCTGCATTACTCTTGTCCCAACTACCTCTTGCCATTCATTACTGGGGTATAAAACGAGCTGTGCATCATCTTCTCCCAAAAAGATGAATTGAGCTTTCAGCTGGGCGGGAGGGAGGGAAGAGGTGAGGACTGAAATAGACAGTATAACCAAAAGCACCCATGAAAGCCTTTGCTATATTTTTTCTTGTTTTTCAATTGTGTTCTGTGTGGATGTTTTTCACAGGACCAGACCTTCTTTACTGGAGTACTTAAGCTATCTCCTCAATTTTATGAGCATCATAGCTGGGCCTTGCAGCAATTACAAGGATTATATAGCCTTCATTGAAGGGAGGCACGTACACATGAAACTCTTAGAAGTGAACTGGAAGCAGAAGGGTTATGACAGACTTCCTGATCCTTCTCCAACTGTAAGTTTTAAATTGACAAAGATTTATTCCAAAGGGCGGGAGAGTGCAGCTTTGTACGTGATTCTCATAGTTGTAAGAAGAAAAGCCATTTTTGGATTATCTTTCCAGTAAATATTACTGTATTTTTTTTTCTGTGAAGAGGCTGCTGTTTTTATCATAGAGTCAAGGGTGAAGGGGCTAGTGTCTTCCTCTTGAACTCCCAGAACGTGTTTGGCTTGCAAAACAGATAGTTTGTTAGTGGGTGTTTTTCTGTTCAGCAATGGGAATGTTCTGCAGATTCCCGTAATTATGAATTGCAGTCAGCTGCAGACGAAAGAGGAAAAGAGGGCACCTTATGAGGAAGAAAAACTGAATGCTGTTTGTAATGCAGCAGATACCAGGAGTACAGGAATCATGGCTGATCAGAAACTGTAGCTTGTCCAGATGCTTTTCTGGATTGAGAACTGGTGGACTGAGAACTGGCTGGATGGCCGAGCTCAGAGCGTTGTGGTTAGTGGTCAGTGGCACAGAGTCTAGTTGGAGGCCTGTAGCTAGCGGTGTCCCGCAGGGGTCAGTCCTGGGTCCAGTCCTGTTCAATGTAGTCATCAATGACCTGGAGGAAGGGACAGAGTGCACCCTCAGCAAGTTTGCTGATGAAACAAAACTGGGGGGAGTGGTTGACACCCCAGAAGGCTGTGCTGCCCTTCAGAGGGACCTGGACAGGCTGGAGAGGTGGGCGGAGAGGAACCTCCTGAAGTTCAGCCAAGGCAAGGGCAGGGTCCTGCACCTCGGGAGGAAGAACCCCATGCACCAGTACAGGGTGGGGGTTGACCTGCTGGAAAGCAGCTCTGCAGAGAAGGACCCGGGAGTGCTGGTGGACAACAAGTTGACCTTGAGCCAGCAGTGTGCCCTTGTGGCCAAGAAGGCCAATGGGATCCTGGGGTGCATGAGGCAGAGTGCTGGCAGCAGGTGGAGGGAGGTGATCCTGCCCCTCTACTCCAGCCCTGGGGAGGCCTCCCCTGGAGTATTGTGTCCAGTTCTGGGCTCCCCAGTACAAGAGAGACATGGCACTCCTGGAGAGAGTCCAGTGGAGGGCTCCTAAGATGATGAGGGGACTGGAGCACCTCTCCTCTGAAGAAAGGCTGTGAGAGCTGGGCCTGTTGAGCCTGGAGAAGAGAAGACTGAGAGGCGACCTGATGCACGTGTACAAGTAGCTGAAGGGGAGAGTGTCGAGAGGATGGGGCCAGTCTCTTCTCCGTGGTGCCCAGTGACAGGTCAAGAGGCAATGGGCAGAAGCTGAAACACAGGCAGCTCCATCTGAACCTGAGGAAAAACTTCTTCACTGTGAGGGTGACAGAGCACTGGAGCAGGTTTCCCAGAGAGGTTGTGGAGTCTCCTTCGCTGGAGATATTCAGAACCCCTCTGGATGTGATCCTGGGCAATATGCTCTAGAGGACCCTGCTTGAGCAGGGAGGTTGGACTAGATGATCTCCAGAGGTCCCTTCCAACCTCAGCCATTCTGTGATTCTGTGATTTTTCAAGAGACTCTCACACTTTAAGATGACTCATAGGTCATTTTTCACTTACAAAGCTGAAAAGGATAAGTGTAACACTATTTTTTTTTTAACGTTACCTGAAGACCACCTTATAAATGACCTTGTATGACAGGATAACATGAGAACCAGATTTCTCTGCCTTGACTTAAGGTGTCACTGAACATGTAGCTTCCTAAGCGAGTAGAATACGTGCCTCTACAGATCTTATTCCTGTCTCACATGGTTGTATTTCCACTGACTTTAGTGGTCTTAGTTCTGATTTATATCAGTATGAGTGAGGCCAGAACTATGCACATATTTTGTTACATGTGTGTCTGCAGAGAGTATTAACATTTACATTGCAATCAGTTTAAAATTAATTAAACATTAGACTTTTACTGAATATGAGTCAATGCAAAAAGAGTACTTGGATCAAAAAATGCATTGTTTAAATAATGTATTTGCAATTTTGAAAGTTGTCATTCTTTTGAGAACGCATGAGTCAATTCTTACATGCTACCTAAGTGCCAGTTTTACCTTCCTGTATTATGACTGTATCAAATACTCCTGATGTGTATTTGAAATCCAGCTTCTAAATACTGGCATGATTCTGTCAATAATTTCAGTGTCTAAAAAGCTAGGGAGCAATAACAGAAAGTAATATAGCATAGCAGATACCCATATCATTGGAAGGAATGCATGTTATATAAGATGCATACTTCTCTGAAAAGTGATTTTTAGCAAGACATTTGGATGATAGCTGGATGGTAAGACCTGTTATTGTACTGAATGTCAATGCTTTTGGCTTCTAGGAGAAATCTAGTCTTCTGTTCCAGGAGGTGACAGTGCATATAGGAGAGCTTTCCCCTTTGTGTTGTGGAGTGTTTTCCCCTGCCTCCCACATTTAAGAACTTCCTCCAACTGCTGTAGGAGTCTCTGTTGAAGTTCATGGCCAGCTTCGACTTCTAATTCTCCTTTATACCCATGGACAGGTAGTTCAGTAAGCCACAATAAACTTAACCTTGGTCTTTGGCCTTCTTTTTGTCACCTCTTCTAAATTAATTATCGTGGCCTTTGTTGCTGCTAGCTGCATTGGCTCTTGAATCACATTCTTTCGATATGTGGTGAGCACTGCTCCCCTGCCCCAAGCAAATACTTTTAATGAGTGTATCATTGTCCTTTGTGCTTTTTAGGGAGCAGTGATGTGCAAGCTGTGTATCACACTTGTATCTCTCATTTTGTTCTTGACGCTTACCAAGAACTTCCCTGTGGCATATATTATTGATAATGAATTTCTTGAGAAAACATCCTTCTTGTCAAGACTTGGTTACCTGTACGTTGTTACACAGGCAGCAAAGCCAAAGTATTACTTTGCATGGACACTAGGTAAGTCTGACTGTGTCACTTATTTTTGTCGGTAATAAATTGGTTCATAAATGTGGGGGGTGGATCTGAAAAAGTAAGAAATAGGCCCTAGGCCTATAATTCCAATGGGAGACATATGCATGTTCCTGTAGGCAGTGAAGCCTACTGAAGTGGGGAGATATCAAAGGTTTTGAAAAATTTGCATAAATTTTCTCCCGGTTTGTCTGAGATTCCTGTTCTCTGGAACTTAATGTGCTTTTCAGCTCCTTGGTCAATAAAGTCAATATAACAATTTCCTCTTACTTAATCTTTTGTAATTATACTGAAATTATTTTTACAGGTATTTTTAGGAAAAAAAGGTTATTTCCTCTAAGCCTTGATTTTTATGCTTTATCCATAATTTGCAACTTCTGTCAGTGGGTTTAAGAGGTAATCCTGGCTCAGGATTACAAGTATGTTACAGGTGTGAACAGATCTCTCTCTCACTGTGGGAAGACTTTCACCCATTTATCTGTATTAAAAAGCTGTACTGTTTGTGAGGAGATTAAGTTAGGCTTTGTCTCTAAGGCTCAGGGTTGTCCTGTACGCAGGAAAGCTTTGAGCAATCAAAAGAAAGGACGGGAAAACAAGTGGGAAGGTGGGGAATAACCAAGGTGGCGGGGAGGACCAAGAATATTCACCAGGAAGAGGAAGACAAGAGAAAGAAAAGAGCTCATAATAGAGAGAAGCAAATGTATTTGGCCAAAAAAAACCCTAGACTTTTGGCCAAAATAAAACATTTTCTGTTTTATCTTCTTCCTTTTAAAAGTCACCTTTCCATCAATGTGTGAGGAGTGAAATCCTTCTAGGCTAGGCTGAAAATTAAAAGACAGAGTTTCTGCTGGTATTGTAAGATGCTGTGCGTAGAAGAGATCCTGAAAGTGTGTCAGAGAGATGTGTACGTTTGAAAGTGGAAAGAGCATTGTTGAGATGAGGCAGAAACATCCAGGAAAATTCATTATGAGGCTGTGATTAAACTACTGTGAATAAAAATGACCGATTGAGAAAAATAGCCGGGGCTGGCATCTGTGGTCTAGGAACAGCTTTAGGACAAAGAATTGTTTGCTCAGAAACTTATTTTTGTGGGAACCAATACTGAGTTGTTGCTTGCAATTTTTTCCGGCTTTCTAGTTAACTAAAAGCACATTATTAAAGAGAGAAACTGCATTTGGTTTTGTGGCATGACTAAGCCTTAGAGACTGTAGAAACATCTTATATATGAGGGGTTTGGGGGGAAAGCATGCATTGCTTTCTGGTGGGTGAGGCCCTTATTATTCACATTACAGATCCAGGCAACAAAACAGCAGGCGTTTTCTCCCTTTGCAGTTTAGCTCCCTGCTGCATGGCATGGGGCATTATATAAGTGCCTGCTGAAACCGCTGATAAGCGCTTCCTGTTCTCAGAAAAGGACAGGCATGCTATTGTGTGAGAGCCACACTCTGAATTCCTCCAGATCCGTGGAAAGACAGAAAATTCAGCTTCTCTCTGCATTAGCAATAATCACGGGAACTTAGCCACAAGCTTCACTCAGAGCTGTTGATGAAAAAAGACTTGGAACTGACGCCTGCGTCCAGGGATCCGTGGGGAGGGAAAGCGATATGCCAGACCCGCTAAAGTCAGCAGCGAAACCTCTGCTGGACTTGGTGGAGGTTGGGCTTTCATCAGTCATTCGAAGGCTGAACAATTGTGATTCTTCTGTGCTCCAAAACATGTTGTTCTGCAGGCAGCAGCTTGTGAACCGCGGCTTACGGATCTGCTGTAATCCTGTGCCCCTGGAATTCTGACTTCTTGCTTTTGGCAGGGAAGCACTAAACAGTCCCGGGTTACCCTTGGAGCAAGAAGGAGCAAACATAGGGGACCATCTGCTCTGCAGTTATAGCTGTGAGCAGTTCTGTTCTCTGGTGGGGCAGGGTTTCATGGGCCGTGCAGCTCGCTATGGATCCCGCAGCAAGACACTGGTAGGCCCTAAGATAAATACAATATCAGGCAGGGTTGTTCTTAAACAGGGAGAGAATTAAAACTTGGAGACCTTTCTTTCCCTCAATACCATCTAGAAATCCAGCTTGTTAGTAAAGTGGAAAATAAAGGAAAAGTTTCAGGTTAGAGAAGGCTACTGCTTTTTTTTTCCCTTTTCCCTTTTCCCTTTTCCCTTTTCCCTTTTCCCTTTTCCCTTTTCCCTTTTCCCTTTTCCCTTTTCCCTTTTCCCGCATTGCTTTTAGGTCAGGCTCTCTTCCTAGTGCCTATGTTCATAGCACATACAAAGCAAAGTTGATTTTCATTCTCAGGAAAGAAGTGCTGACTTTTTTTAAAGTTTAGTTTAATCCCACTTGTATTTTGTAAATGATCTAGAAGGAAAAGCTTGACCTCTATTTTTGTTTTTCTCTTTCTTCCAGTATCCTTAGTGTTTGCTGCATCTAGTGACCCAGAGATAATGAATCCCTCCTGTTTTCTTAGTACATAAAGAGAGGATTTCTGACAGGGGCACAGTGAAAGCAGGGTCTTCACAGTCCAGACCCAGGGATCAGATGGCCCCCAGGCACAGCTGAGAAAGGAAATAGTTGACTTGCACCTTGGGAAAGAGCAAGAACTTTACCAGTGGTGTTGTCCTGTGCTTCACTGCAGCAGAACAGGAGAGGGGCTGCAGCATGTGAAAATGCTTACCAGTACCCAAGCTTTTGTTTGCGCTTAAAGTAGTTAAATCTGTAATCGAGGATACTCAATATTGCAGAGATGGCCATGTACTTTAGCAAGGCACTGAGCAGCAAGATTAGCAAAAGGCTCTGTCTGTGAAAGCATGAGTAAAAGTCTTAATTGGAGCAGCTGTGTTGGAACTCGTAACAGAAATGGTAAACACGTCTCTGAGATGCTACAGTGTTTCTGAATTCTGGAAAATACTGTGACATCTCAGGTACCCTTCTGAGGAAAATACTAACTCATTTTATGACGACTCTTACATATCTGTCTCAGATAGATGATAATGGGAAAATGACAGGAAAAATTATTTCCTTTCACTGTTGTTTTATTATTTTGTTTTATTTTTTAATTTCTTCTGCCCAAGGAGTAGCTAGGCTTTTTTTCCTGAGGAAATGACTCTCCTGTGCTGCGTAAGAGCAATGCCCCTTTGCCAACAAGAAGCCTCTCTTAGAAAGCAAGGATGTTAATTGCTATAATGGTGGTTTGAATGTGTGCTTAGTGCCGTACAGAGCTGTAAGAAAGCATGGCTCCTCCAGCAGTCTGATCTGACCAGTTTTGCTTTGATATTGCAGCAGATGCAGTCAACAATGCAGCTGGCTATGGATTCAGTGGAGTGGATGAGAGAGGCATTTTCCGTTGGGACCTGTTGTCCAATTTAAATATCTGGAACATTGAGGTGAGTTAAAGGAGTGACAGTGCCGGTGTAATTATAGAAAAATGGGCATGGTAATGAGGAGAAGCTTTGCTAGAAGGAAAGATAAGTCCAGGCCACCAGACTGCCTCTTTTTAACTTGGAGAGGTTTTGTATTTTATCTACTGGGCAGATAAGTAGCATCTGTCACGCTGTATGTTCAGGTTGCATTTGTAAATAGTTTATGGAGAGCTAATGAATGATTAATCAGATGTTTAATAAATGAGCAGTCAATTTATTGTAGATTGTGGTTGAGTTCAGTAGGTCAATGAATTGTTTGTAACTATGATTCTTCACCATCTGTGTGTCTTCAATATATTCTAACAATATTCCAATTTCGTACCCCAGTTGAGATGGGGGGAGGGGCATGGGAAAGTGGCCATCATGGCTAGGAATTGCATGAATGCATGGAAAGGGTGAGTTTCTGAGCACCTGCAACTAGAGTGCTCATTCTAGGTGGAGAAAAGCAAGGCAGAGGAAGAGGAAGCAGGTACAAAATGAGCAGCCTGAATGGGAATTGACAGAGCCACATGGAGTTGAGATGGCTGCTGATAGAGAGCTCTATCCAGCAAACCGCATGGTTTCTCAAAACATCTGTCACACATGTTCCTTGTGACTGCAACATGCTCTTAACATCCATTAGTCTTCTATAAACTATTTATATTTGTTTCTTTAATGCAAAAAAAAATTGTTGTTTAGTTATTTGTTTGCCCCCAAGAATATTTTGTGAATGCCAGTGGGATGTGAAAATGTTTGCAAGTCTGGGATTGCTCTGTCTAAAGGCTTCTTTTCAGTAGAAATAGGAGGAACTCCCCCCTGTAATTCTGTAGTTGTGATTTTAAAAGGAAAAACAGATGAAAGCAGCAAATTGACTGCTTTATTGCTGAATGATCTGTGACTAAACAAATGTGCTCTGATAGCTCTTCTGTAAAATGCGAGAGCCGCTCTAATTCAGAGATGGAAAATGTTAGAAGATGCAAAAGCTAGAAGTATTATGCACTCTCTCTTTGTCAACATCTTTTTTCTGTTTTCTACTTTAATCCTCAGTGTACACCTCTCCTTGAGTGGTACAGAATACACAGCACAGAACCGCTTTATACTCGGCGATTAAGGCAGCACCCCAGATATCACTCTGAGATCTTGAATCAGGACCTAATTAAGTTTCCAGGCAGGAGCCAGGTCCTAACTAGATGAGCTGAGACAGTTCCTGCTCCAAGGAGGAAAGTCAGGCGCAGGCAGTGCTCTTTGCTCAGGCCGAGCAGAGGAAAGGAGGAACCTTTACTCCTCTCTACCCACTGAACTGTAGGCCTCATGAAACCTTTTTCCTTTACTGGTCATATGGGCAACAGGGATCATGGTGGAGAAACTGTTTTCTAGAGGCATAAAACAGAGGGGCCAAACTGGCCTCAAAAGCCCTGTCAGGTATGATGTTGTACTGGAGTTTTCCCAATTTCCTGGTCTTATCCTGGAGATTGTCCGAGTGAGCTGGAGAAAAAACACTGTCTGTGGATTTGTCCATGTGTGCAATAAGAGGAATAGACCATTACTTCCTGTAAGCCTTGGGCTCTTCCTTTATGCGCTGTCCACAATCCTGGGAGGTAAACAGTAAGCGCTATTGTACAGTACCTTTTAAGCAGGAATAGCTGTTTTCATGTGTAAAAATGCTTGAGAACCGAGCACTTGAGCTGAGTGCCCAACGTGGCCACAAACTGATCTGGTCCGTAGTGGTCAGGTGAATATAAGCACAGGGCAGGAATTGGGAAGGCACTTAGAATGTGACGTGAGGCCAAATGCACGTGGAGGGCTTGAAGAAAACCTTGGCAGCATGCATATTTTGACAGCCAGTGACTGCCTTCTTTCTTGGTCATGTAACTGGGGAGCTTAAAAGAGGCCAGAAGAGGGTGACAATATCGGTTGGAAGAGAAATTGTGTTTGCCTTGGCTTCTTTTGGTGCAGTAATGCAATTAAAATGTGGCAGTACTGCATAGGGAATTGCTAATCGCTTTAACTCTTCAACCACAGAGGCTGACAGTGCTAATATTCAGGATTTTGTACAGAATTGCAAAAATCGGATATTCCCCTCGGACACCTTGGCTAGTGTGCCCTTTTCATCAGCTTATGTGGCAAAATATCATGTTTTCACTGAATCTGTGGACGCCAGTTATTTATCCCTGCTTGATAAAGAAGTCCTCAGAGGTTTCTGTCAGCCAGCAAGGATCCAGGGGGAAGGTGGACAGGGAACAGCCAGAGGTGGAGTTGACCAGGACAAGGGGAACTGATGCTGCAAGGAAGGATAGTTAGTTCTCCCAGTACCCTAGCGCCCATTTCAGTTTCGCGAGGTGTCTAGCAGGCTGAGAATTGCGTTCTAAATTTGTTCCTAACGTGTTTTGTCCATGTTTTCAAATCTCCCCCTTCCTTCCCCCAGTAATAATGTGTTTCTTTTACTTTTTATAACCCTTTAACAGCACTCTAGAGAAGTCCAGACTGTGTAATGGATGGCAGGGTATCTCTTCCAAAAATGAAGCTGTTTTTGTGCTGTAGGGAAGGTCAAACATTTAAAACATGGAAAGCTTTCTGGATTTCCCATGATGTGAAAAAATTACCAAGCATCTTGGTTAATTTTACAAAGCAAAGTGAGATTTTTAGAGCAAGCGCCAAGCATTAGCTGTGAGCACAACCTGATTAGCGTCCCTCCTAAAACCTATTAGTGTAATTATGGACTGTGTTGACACAGTCTTCACAAACGTCAGCTACTAGAGTGAATGTGTTGCATGTATCACGTCTCTAATTTAAGATGCAAGTATTATTTTACAGGTTACAAAGCTAACATTTCATGTGAGTTTCTCCTCTCTTAGACTGCGACAAGTTTTAAAATGTACATTGAAAACTGGAACATTCAGACAGCTGCCTGGCTAAAACGGTAAGAGTAATGAAATGGTAATTTGCTTGTGAGATCCAAAAACTCTAGATGGCCTGGAAAAACACTGACTGGTGAATGTCCTAAATGCATAGCCTCATGTTCTTTCTTCATTCCCTGAGTCTATAACAGTTGGTGTACTACAGTGGTATTTGGTGCTATAAAGTTTTATTGCTGCAAATATAAAATGTCCACATTTCACGTATGAGAAGCAAGGCCATAAATGAACTGTTCAGCTCTTCCAAAATAAAAAGTAATGGCATTCTGATGGCATCTTCCAGGCTGCTGCCGTTGGCCTCCATTATCCTTGCTGCACTGTTTCAGTGGCTATTCGTCCTGTGTTGTGTTTCCCATGTGTATTGCTGCTGGAGGGAAGCCTGGCTGCGTCGCTCAGATCCAGCTCGGTTAGAAAGGAAGGGACGTTCAGGTTTGCATCCAGAGCCTCAGTGTAGTCCAGTTTGGGGTTATCACATGACGCTTGTTAGAGAGTCCCAGTTTAAGACGTGGAGAAGAGACTTCCCAAAGCCCTGAGAGGGTCCAATTTGGAACCATGACTGTCAAAGCTCACATAACTGCTAAGTCCAAATTTTGTAGATTGCACTGTATCTTATTATTTTTAAATACACTTTTTGGCATGATTAAAGCTCGGTGCAAAATCAGTTAATGTGGTGCCTGAAACTCAGGCACATGCTTATGGTCGTTATCAGAACTATTTTTATTGTTAAATACATACATCTTAGAAGTTAATTTCTACTCCTCTTCACGATTCAAATAACGTTCCTGGGAAGACCTGTTATCTTGACTCGTTTCTTTGGAACACTGCATTTCGGTTAAGACTCAGAAAGCCAAACGGACCTGTCGGTGTGTTCTTGAACTGGTATAATTCACTTTACATCTCTGAAGTAAAATTCTGGGCTACTCAAAGTTAGCAGGAATCCACCACTTTGCAATAAATAGCTAAAGGCACACTCTGTAAAATAGCAATACCTGAAAAATACTCCAATTCACCAGCGAAGGGTGGGGTAATGTGTCTTTGTCCTTCTACTCTTGATTTCCTATTAGACTATTGAAGAGCTGAGCACAATTCCAGATGGAGAAAAACATTGTCACTATAAAGGTGAATGAGAAGTGTGGCCGCCTCTTTGCCTTTTTATTTATTTAAATTCCATGAGCACTGGTAACATTTGTTCAGGAAATCTTTGAATATTCAGTGCAGAAAAATACGCTTACGCTTTCCGTTGACTCTCATGCACATGAAGGAAGGATGCCTCGTGTCCTGGTTTGTGACTGAGGCAAGATGAAGCCTTTAAGAAAATGGAGTAAGGCCTTAAAGACCAAGAAGGATTTGAAGTGCAGTAACCACTGTTCAGTCATATTCAGCCACTTCTTTCTTGTTTTGATTTCTTCTTTGCAGAGTTTGCTATGACAGAGCTCCCTGGTACCCTACAGCTTTAACATTTATCCTGTCAGCCCTGTGGCATGGTATCTATCCTGGATATTATTTTACATTCCTCACTGGAATCCTTATCACACTCGCAGCCAGAGCAGTACGTACCTTGCGTTGTTCTCTTCCCAGGCCCATGTTAGATACTATCCTGTTATCTACTGCAGGGACCTCTCTGACACACTCAACCAGCTTATCCGTGCTGTGAGTCCTCTTACATGCCTTTGCAGGGATGATGTTCACTGAAATTTTGCTCTACATTAATATGAGTCACAGGGTACCCCCGCTAGTTGCAGCCAGCACTGATTCTGCTTGTGCTGCAGTGTTGTCCCTGGCTCTCTGGGGAAGTGCTGGTTTTGAGCGTAGTTAGGTATGGGTTTGATAATACTGTTGGGTATGTTCATGCAGTCAGATTAGCTTGGGATTCAAGCTTATGCTTGAGTCCAGACTTCTGCTAGTCCATGTTGCCTATATGCTGGCTTGTAATCAGCTCTGAGCCCAGAGTCACTCTCAAGAGAGGAAAACTCAGTCATGGGCTGAGCGTTAACTCAAACTTGAAGTCTGCCTGAGTGGATGCAATTGACTCTCGTGTGTATGAGCCTAAGCTTGGGCACAGTTACCGAAGACGCAACAGATTTCACGTTTTACCATGGTTAGATTCATCACTGCCCGCCTTTCAGGCTGAACCAGCCAGTTGTGCGGGGCTGGGAGGCACCGCCGTTGTCTTTGAGTTTGACTGTGCATAAATATCCAGGTCAATTTAAAAGGTGAATTAAACTAGCGATCGGCATTAGCTGCTATGGCTAGAGCAGTTTGCTGAGCATGCCGCCCTCACATGTGCTTTGCCTCTCATGTACGAGGGTCCATTTCATAGACAAAAAGCCAAACCAACATCTATAGATAAGTGAACATGCTTGCATGTATAAATACATACTTGTTTATTTAAAGTACCTTCGTTTCACAATTGATAATCGGTAACCAAAAAAGGGACAGAGGGAGATAAATCGTGAAGACCTCCCTCCCTCAAAGATATTGTCCAAAGATCTGTCCAAAGTCACCAGTTTGCTCTGGTGACTGTGACGGAGGAAAATGGGACTTTCTTCTCTGCTTACCACTGATTGATTGCGGGATTTTTAGATATGCCGATCAACGGGCTTTTGTCTTCAAGGGCTTTTGTCTTCGAACGATTAGTCCGTGCTTTCTAGCTCGGGTATGAACTTGTCTGTAGCACTGGTGTTGATGATAAATGGAGGGTGTAATGGATGGACCACAGGGTGCCTGCCTGACTTTACCTAAGAAATTAACTTGTATCATTTTCTGTTTACTTTTCCTTGACCTGCAGATAAGAAACAATTGCAGACGTTACTTCCTTGCCTCACTGCCTCTCAAGATAGCCTATGATATTGTTACCTGGATTGTCACTCAGCTGGCTGTTTGCTATACTGTTGCACCTTTTGTTATGCTGGCTGTTGAGCCCACAATTAAGTTTTACAAGTAAGTTCTCGCCTCTTAACTACTACAGTCCAGACAAGCACAGCCTTTGTTGAATAAGCCAAACCACTCTGAAAGGCAATTGGCATTTCATCATAATTTCAAAGGAATTCAAACAGGATATTTAACAAAGTAAGGAGTGATTTTTGCACTCCCATAACTTGATGAGCTGATGATGCCAAGTCAAAACACTTATCTTTTATTTCTCTGTTTTTCTATATTCTTAAATAATCTGATTTTTCACATATTCATTTTCCTTTTTCAAAACACTCAAGTCTCAAACGTTAACAGTAGCCAAGGCTGGAGAGGTTAAAAATAATGTGAGTAGAAAGAACTCAGTCAAAAAAAAAAAAAAAAAAAGAACGATTCCCAGCTGCAGAATGCATAGAAGAGGGGATATGAATTGATCAGCAGGAGAAAAGGAGCGTACCTGACAAAGCATTGCTTACTGGGATCCGTATGTTTTTTCATTCGGGATGTGAATGCTTTCATAGGTCCCTATGAAAGCGCTGGTATTGCAGAGTATATTGAATAAAGGACAAAATAATTTGGAGACTGGACTAAATAGCTTTCCTTTTCTTTCATTCTACAGTAAACTTTGTCAAATGTAGACTAACAGGTTTTGGTTGAGAAGAGAGATGTTTTGTAACTTTAAAATAAGAGATACAAAACTGGTAGGCGCTGTGAGTAAATCTGTTTGAAGGGCTTTAAATGCTGACCTTTTCTTTTTTCTTAAAACATTTGATTTCAACACAGAGAAAACTTACCATCTAAAAACACCCCTAAATCTTTCTTCGTTTTGGTAACGTGCTTTCCTAGGTACCATATTAATGTCTTATTTTTCTGTCTTTTAAGACAAAAGTAGCAAACAGCAAGCAGAACAAAAAGAGGAGAGAAAAGCCTAAAATATTGAACTATTTTATGAATTTTCCCAGTTAGTGAAATTTGGTGCCTTTTTACTACAAAAGGCCATTCCATGTGGCATATGTTAGTATGTCGTTCTGTGAGATTATATTGCTAACCTCAGAACTACAGAAATAAACATGTATAAAAAGCTTGGTGTTAATATGCCAGTGTCCGTGAAGGGTGAGAGCGTTGCCTTTACCAAAGCTCTGAACAAGGAAAGTGATTTTCCACCTCTGTCTCAAATTGGGTTGGTACCTTACTATTTTTTGCCCTAGTGACTCAGAACATAGTTAACACCTGAACTTAGGGAAGGAAACAAGGAAAGCAAGGAAATTGTAGGCCTTTGACCAGGCCGTGAATGTTTGGAGCCCTGCACACCTAACTGCGGTCTTAAGCACCTTACAAGGATATTAAGATCTGTGGTGAGAAGCACAGATGAGGCCATCCAAGGGTGCCCCTCTGTGTTTAGGAGCTGGACTCTACTGCTCCCAAACTTGGTCATCTCCAAGCCACCCCAGGCTCATATAGTTGGTTTTAGTATATTTGGTTTCTGTTCAATCCTGTGCAAATGAAGTTATTAGAAATAAAAACATTTGATATTCAGTAAGATATCAGATAAAGGTATCTCTGAATAATTGCCTTTAAAAACAAGGCCCTTCTGTAATTGTCTTTTACTGACCTCCTTCACTGAGAAGCTGAGTGTTTTAATTTATTTCAGAATGGTTTTTTTCCTTTCTCATTCAGTTGCTTGGCCTTGTTTTTCATTTGTTTGTTTTTTACTGGTACAAGTTTTATGTCCTAAAAATGAAAGAGATTTCTTCAGAATGTGTCCTTTTATATTCTTTAACGTTGAAAGAGAGATGAGCTGAATAAATTTAGTGTTGATTTATTTGAGCTCCCAGATTTTGGGTTCAGGAGATGAGGGGTGGGTTCTGGAGTGTGCCAGATCATTCCTTGCTTCATTCATATCCATGGCAACATTTTCACTGATGCTAGCAGATGTCACGTCCATAGGACATGTGCAAATCAGGAGCGTGTTTTGGTCATTTCTAGGTCAGGTTTTTACTTTCTGCATTTACCCCTTAGCACTACATTCTGCACTGGCTTATTGAGCCTGTACAATTCCTAACGTTTGTGTTATTATCAACAAGAGTATAATTTTGTCTTTTTTCTTTTCTTTTGAGGTCTATGTATTTTCACATGCACATCCTAAGCATCCTGGTATTGCTAGTGTTACCGATCAGACCTCAAGCTCACTCCGTAAGAAGGCCTCAAAATCAGGTCATGCAGAACTCCGTTAAAAACAAAGACGAATGATACCTCCAAAGAAAACCGCCAACACTGGGACGTGAACTGCCATATTGGAAGCAAACAAAGAAGAAAAAAGGCGGGGGAGGGGAGGGACAAACGGCAAGACAAGTGGCATTACTATTGCTTATCATAAAACCTTACTGGACAGGGCAGAAAAGAGCCTGAAAGACTGTGTTTCAGATAACTCCAGGTAACAGAGATTTACAGGCAACTTTTGCAGGCTCAAGGGGCATTTTGATTTTTTTTTTAATATATATTTTTATGAAGTGTTTTTATATATTTAAACTTTTTCACACAGGTGTTTTTGCTTTTTTACAGAAATATACCATTATTAAACAATAATATTGTAATTAAAGGGACAAGAAGTATCTAATAAAGAGTTCGATCAGCTGTGTACTAGCCTGGTGCTCAGGGCAGCTGATCATATCTTGGCAAAGAAGAGAGATGGTGTGTATAGAGAACCACAGAAAGGGGGAGTGCTCCACGGGTTGGTGCTGACTTCTGCCCCAGCAGGGAGAAAAGGGAGCAGGGCTCTCCGGGCAATCCCCAAAGTAGGGACTCCAGCCTGAGCTCGGCAGCAAGGATATTCCACCTCCCTCGAAGTGGCTCCTGCTGGTATGAGGGCAAGACAAGTCCCTTGGGAATAGGTGTCTGGGAACACTTGTCAACTGGCTAGGCCAAAACCTAAAGCCAAGAAAAAGCAACACAAAAGGGAAAAACCCAGAGTAGTAAAAACAAGGGAATACCCTGTGATCTGTAGAATAGGTCTTCTCTAATAACGCAGCTGGTGCTCATTGCTACTTCAGCCTTACTTTGCACTTTCAGAGTGATGCAGCGCTTCCATTCTACGATGGAAATAACGGAGAAGCCGTGCAGGTTTAGACTGTTACAACTCGCGGTTATGCGTTAAATCTAGAAAAGGTTAGCAATAGATCAGACTGTTCTGCACAAAAAGGTTAGCAATAGAACAGACTGTTCCACACGGAAGCATCCTGTCTCGTGTGGGGGAGTTTCATTTTAGTGTTAGTGGCTGGAAAGAAAATGGAACAATAATTATTATAATAAATAATTCTATACAAAACAAGGAGTATGATGTGATGTGATCGTCACAGGAGTCAACACCGAGTCCTTATATGATTTTGACAAGCCACTTAACCTTTTGGTGCAAGTTTCCCTTCTTGTAAAATCCCAAGATTACAGGGCTGTTGTGAGGTTTAACTTCTAAGGGCTTAGAGTGCTTTGAGATAACTTACTGCAAAATGCTATGCCAGTTTTTAAATTTATTTTTTTTTGTAGTTCACTTAACCCTGAAAAATAGGCTAATAGGACACTTCAGAACAATTAAAATATTAAAAATGAAAAAGTTTTACTGTTTTCCAGGAATGATTTTCTCAGGATTTTTAGAAGCAATTCCCTTGTAAAGTATTGATATTCTTTTTTGGCCATTTAACTGAAGTGTGAGTGAGCAAAGAATCTGCTGTTTATTGCATTCTGATTTCCGTGTTGCATTAAAATTTTGCAGAATCCTTACGTTGGGAAGGAAATCAGTGAAACTAAAACATGTTTTTAAAATGTTTGATTTTCTTATTTTCTGGTGGAAAGGTTTTGTCCTGTGACCGCCTCATGATTTAGAGCATATTTCATGGAAGAGTTTATCTGGTAATTTATTTTGAAGGTGAGATGATATTAAAAGATTGATCTGAATAAACAAATTGCTTTGTGTCACTGCATGGCATTATTAATGAAAGTCAAATGTGAAAATGGATAAATGAGTCTGTGTCTCATGAGAAAATCAGTCACAAATATGAAGGGAGCTATTCAGGTCTGTCAAATTTTACAGTCTAGATATGCTTCAGATTTTGCTTGTTGAAATGGAGACAAGAAGACCCCTGCCTATTTTAGTGGAAGCAGGAACTGTCCTTAACTTGGCCCACCTTTGCTCATCCTTGTGTGTTTTTCTCTTCATGGTCATTTTCTCTGTTGCATCTTAGAGATCTAACATTTTATTTAAAGATTTGCTATGACAGCTCTGTGGCTTGCTAAAGCTGTTCCTACAGGGCTGGATGAAATTGCAGCTATTCCTTGAGGGAGAAAGGAGATGAAGGTTTGCACAATTCCCTCTGACTCCTCTGTCAGCTGGAGTGCGCAATCCACAACGCACCGGTGTGGATGTCACCGGAGCTTTGCCCAGACCCCTGAGGTCGCTCACCCAGAGGTTGAGAGCCTGGGTAGGGAGGGGAAAGGGGGACTGCACAAGCCTCACGTTTTCCTGCCGGGGTGGTCTCCCTAGGCTGAAATTAGCCTTTCTTTCCCCTCCTTGCCCCTGTTTTTCCAGCTCCATCTGGGAGGGAATGCAGAGGCTTGCAAGGACCTTGTGCTTGCAGCTTTGGGAGGTTCAGCATCATCTGCACTTAACCTCCTAGAAACTCTGGAAAGCATTGCTACAAATACTGGCAAAACGAGTATAATGTCCAGAGGCTCATCAGGCGAATGTTTCCAACAGGTTATCTTTAGTGCCTACTTTGGAAAATAAATGCACTTTGAGAAGGTAGGTTCTCCCCCCGCCACACACACACTGCCACCTTATGTGTGGTTCTCTGGGCCCTGAGATGTCCCCATGCAGGGCCTGTGAAGCCTTGGTTCAAGAAAGGCCAGATTTTATCAGTGGATTTTTTTTTTTTTGGGCGTTTCGTGTACATGGAAGATGCTTAACTCTAATGCCTTCCACTTTTATTGTGGGTTTCAGCCTCTACAACGTGATGAACTAGTCAGGTCTAGTGAGCAAATTCTTATTCCCCGTCATATTGCGTTCTCAGCCTGTGACTGACTGAAAACAGGAACCCTGGGCTTCAATGAAAACTGTTCGTGTGGATTTAATATGATATGTTACATGAATTAAAATTGAAATGGCCTTTCGAAACCTTGCATTGCAGAGAAACTTGCTGACTGAATTAGTTTTAAAGCTGAAAAAAATATATAAATGCTCTAAAGTTTTGCTGTACTCTGTTACTTTACACTAGGCAGGTTACCTAGACAAACATGGCATACTGCAAAACTAACACAAAATATCTTTTTTGAAAAAAGGCCATTAGGTCTGGAACTACCTTTCTAAAGTCATTGTACTGTGGGAGAAAATTTTTCTTTACAGAAAGAGCGCCAACAGCCACTACCAGTCAGAGAGGAGATTCCTCATTTGATAGCAGCTTGCACCTACTTTGCACAGGTACAAGTAACTCTGGAGACCAAGTAGAAGTTCAGGTTATGAATACATGATGTGGGAACTCAAGTATTGGCCTTGCATTACTTGTGTCTAATTGGAATACTGTAATTTGAGGGTGTACTTCAGTGATTAAAGTACATGATTATGATTGCCAACATGTTATTAGTTTCTAATCACTCCCTGGGTTCTTTGTGCTGTAAAAAGCTGAGGAGGTGGGGACCCCGGAGAGATTCTCAGGGTATAAACAATCTTTTGATGGTTTATAACAGAAAAAGAAATATGGAACCATCATACAGGCATGAAAGAGGTGAATTGTGCTGGATTGGCAAAGTGTTTCTATATATATTTAAAAAAAAACCCAAAACAGCAACAGCAACTGTCTACTCCTTGAACTGAGGACAAATTCCATCTGTTATTTTTCAGCATATTTGGCTGCATAAAAACTAACCTGGAAGTTGAGGCACACTTGGAAGTGGGCAGAGAATGAAGAGTAAAGCTTTGTTTCAGCTTAATTCAGACATACCAAGGGGAATGAAGGGACAGCAGCTCCATGGAAAAAATCCTACGGAGCTGGTATTTAAAGAACTAACAACTCAGCAATTTCTTCAATGGACTTAAGGCACAAAGTACTTTCCTTTACTGTCCTGTGAGCTTCCCCTCCCTTCGCGTGAGTACGTTCCTGCATGTCCCCTTGGTGCATGCCAAGCAATGGAGGCAGCACAAACCTGGCATACAAGGTGAGCAGACATTTTTTCTCTCTTTCTGGCTTCTCTGTTTTGCCTGCATACACTGCACACAGCTTGGATTTTTGCATCTTTTGAAATGAGGTAAGTGGGTAAGAAGGCTGTAGACTTTTGCCCTGGTGGTAGGTGTTTGTGTAAGTCTGCATTTACCTCTGTTAGCTGAGCCTGCTTTAACATGTGCAAACGCGATCTGGATCCTTTCTTAGAAATACAGAGTGAAATTCTGACCTCAAGGTTGTCCACTAGTTAAATCCCCATCAGTGGGAATCTAAAGCATATCCCTGAACTGGAAACGGTAGAAAAATAGTCCAATTGCTAGAGTAGAGGGACTGACTGGAAACTTAGCTTTAACATTTAAGAGAGTGTTACAAGGGATGCCTATGGCCCACGTGTTGTGGGCAGAGGAAGAGCATGTCCCTTCTCATCCTGCCCGAGACAAAACGGCGTCCACAGTTAAATGTTCAAATATCCTCTTAGATATGATTCTGTTTTCTTATGTCTCTGAACTGACGTGCTTCAGTTCATGGGGACTAGCAGCATTGCACTGTGATACATTAGTGGGAGGCCTCGCTTGACATCTCAGCATGTGTAGAAATGCACAGTATGTGGCTTAAAAATCCATTCTTTTGTACATCATCAGACCACTGCTCCCTTTCTTCTTAGAGATGACAGTAATCATATGCAGGAAGCATGGGGATTTGCTCTTGGAAACTGCAGCCTTCTAACTGAGTGCTGATGTGAGACAAAGTGGAAATGCATTTGTTCAGTTACGTTTACGAGTAGTGCCCTCTGCGGGTGAGTGGACCTTGGCTAACGCTCGAGTGAAGATTTGAGTATTCTGGCCGGGGGACTCTGACAAAGGTGAGTGATTTTGTTGCGGTGCAGCCAAGCTAACTACAGGGCAGATGTGGATTTTCATATGTGCTGTAATAAGGACTTGTGTCTGCTTCGGGGCAGGATGGAGAGAGAAATCGAAGACCTAGTTAGATGGAGAAAAAATAATGTTACAGTAGGAAATGCAGCTTTACGGGTAGCAAAGATGATGTTAATTTGCCTTTAAAAACTTAGGTTATGCTCTGTTTCACCTTAAGTGAAACACCTGAAGTGTTTCACCTGAAGTCCACTTAAGCACGGTCTGGGGAAGGGGAACCACAAGACGGGGGAGAGGCTGTGAGAGGTGCCCTGAGACTGCCCTGGAGATCTGATTTATTGCCCATCCATAGAGCAGCTCTGAAAGTAAGACCCAAGGCTTGCCCAGAGGCTTTTGCACTGCAATGCGATTGCCTGCGCATCTGGGTTAGAGACCCCGCAGTTCATCTGTGGGAACCTTGCAGGAGCAGGGGGCAGCAGATCTGGGGTCTCTCTGTCGGATGCCGTACAGGTGCCCAGGAAAGACCTGGGAGCACACTGGAAGTGACCCAGCCACTGTGGGACACAGCAAAGGAAAACTCGGGCAGGGCCCCTTCACGTGCTGAGCAGCTCCTGAATTGTCCAGTGATGGAAACTGGTGTCCCTCTTCGTTAAACATTTTAAGATGATGAAATACGACAGTTACTGCTCTGAAATACAGGAATTTCTCTTGGTAATGTTGCCTATTTATTCTTGCCTTGGTGATGTCAGTATTAGTGCATTTTAGTTTTGCTCCTTTAATTTTTTTTGTTTGTGCTTGAGAAAGCTGGTGTTTTGCGACTATTTTATATCTGATCAGGGAGATATCTTGAGTTTGCATTTAATTATGTATGTCACAGATGTGGTGAATAGCATGAGTACAGGAATAGATTAGCTGACTGTATTCTCAGTATGTTAGTTGATTTACCTTTCTGTGACTTTGTATTTTTTTTGCCCCAGCACGCTTCAATGACACTTTCCAGTGCACAGCAGATGGTGCAGTTTAGGTTTAGAGGTGATTTCTTTATAAAATGGGTCACAGAACTACTAATTTCTCTTCTTTGGGGCTGAGCATCTGTGGACGCAAAGAAATGGGCACAAAGCTAAGGATGCTTGTCTGTTGTGAGTCTGGAGTATTTGCATCTCTCTATTCTTGCAAAGTGAACCTCTATATTTTAGTGTATGGAGGAGCTGAG